TTTCTAAATATGAAAACGTACTTACAGGCTGTAAGTCAGAACAGCCGGCATTGTAGTCTACTCTACCAGGAACAGGAAACAGTCCGAATATGAATATTTGGGTTGAACTGTTCTGGAACAGTGTTGTAAATACAACTTAACCACTGATTTCTAGTCGTGTCCTCTTTTGGAAGGCCAAACAAAGTAGTTTCGCTTTCAGGCCGGAGGCTAGAGTGAGTGGAGGTCAGCGGTCTTGAGAACGGCGCAGCCGGCGGATTCGACGAAGGAGCGGCCGGCGGGCTTGCGGCAACCACATGTGATGACCAAAATAAAAACTCCACGATAGTGTTTTCATGACTTTCAATAAAAGGAAAAAAATTGAGAGAGACTGATAACGGCTGTCAGAAGAGAGAACGATGTCAAATTTACCATCCCTCCCATAGACGCTGCATTAGAAACACCCTCGCATTAGCGTTAACTGTTTTTTGTAATTTGATGCAAAGGTGATATAATACAAAGAATAGTGTTATAAATGTAGATACATTTTTTTTTAAATACAAATATGAAAAACTTTCGAGGATTTACGATGCTGATGACCGTTAAACGCGTCATCACAGTCTTGTGAAAAGGGTCCATTGAGAAAATGTGATTCCCAGTGAGCACAGACTTACCAGACTACTGAATGTACTGCTGGTGGCAGTGTTTACTTAGCTAAGGTTCAATGTGTTCGAAGCTTAATGGGCTTTTTAGGAAGTATAGAGGTCAATGCAACAGTTCCTAACACCAAAAAAGTAATATTAATGTATTATAATTACAGACAGAAGTATTTGATGTTTTGTAGCACTAAAGTTTTGTGGCAGTGCTCATGAAATGATTCATCTTCAAATACAGAATACTGCTTCAAATAAATAAATGGTTCATTAAATCACATTGGTCAAATCAAATTATGGATGAGAAAAGTTTCAGGCTGGTGAGACAAACAAACAAACAGAGTTATGTATCAATAAATCATTAACACAAATAACGAAATGTGTACAATGAAGTAAACGGATCATTTTGATTTAATTTGACTTTTACATACACAGAAACACTTTTTGGACTTCATCTAAATGAAGTCTTCCAGCTGTGCGGCTGGGATCTGGTACCTTCTTGAGGACGCAGACCATGGCTGTGGCAGGGCTGATGTGCAGGGCAAGTGGTGTGGACAGCACATCCTGGTACTGCAGGCAGCAGGCGTAAAACTTGGACCAGAACTCCACCTGCAGCAGATGGTAGTCCTCCTGACAGAACTCGTACTCGGTCACGCTGCCCTGAAGCTGAAAACAACGTTTAGTGGTAACTAGGGCTGCCACTAACGACTATTTTTATTTCGATGAATCTATCGACTAATTTATCGATTAATCTAAACGATTAATTTCCCACCAAAAAAACAACAATTTTACTTAAGAATATTTTATTAAACTATATTTTAATTAAACCAAATGAAATATAAAAGTAAAAAAGTAAAGTACAACATAAAGTGCAAGAAGCAAGTGTCCATCTCATAGTCCAAATCACTGAAATCAAGGGCTAACGTTAGCTTAATGAGTTCTTTAGCCTTTTTTATTGTAGATCTCTGGTCTCTAGTCTATAAGCTAGTCTTAAACTTAAGCTCTAACAGAGAACAAATTCTAATGGTTTGTTTGCCATAGAAAATGTCTTAAGTGTCGAAGAGACCGTCGTCAGCGTTCGTGAGCTCTGTGTTTCTTTAAGTCATATCAACGACTATTTTTATTACGATTAATCTGTCGACTAATTTATCGATTAATCTAAACGGTTAATTTCCCACAAAAAAAATTACTATTTTACTTAAGAATATTTGATTAAACTATATTTCATTAAACCAAATGAAATCCAAAAGTAAAAAAGTAAAGTACAACATAAAGTGCAAGAAGCAAGTGTCCATCTCATAGTCCAAATCACTGAAATCAAAGTTCAGTATTGATTTTAAGTGTAAGTGATAGTGTAAGAATGACAACATATCCACGTGTTCTAGTCTACTAATAATAAAATTATAATCAGAAAATACATTTTAAAGGAGTATTTACCAGAAATATTATTTACCAGAATTGATTTAGGAGAGAAATGTAAATGTGCAGTATTTCTGAAAAAAAAAAACTCCCAACGGCCTGACGATTGTTTTTACACATTACTGTGCAATCTAATACTTGTTTAATATTGACCAAGCATCATTTCATTCAGATGTCCATTTAATCTTTAATATTTGGCCATTTCTTTAGGACAGAAATGCTATAGCCACTGTAATTAAATGAATATGTGGACATCAAAACGTGTAAACTCAGAGTGAGTGTTTGAGCTTATATTTTGAAACCGCAATGTATTCTCCTGCGTTTGCGTAGATTTACAAATGATTTACCGTACAAATCTGATTAAATGGCGCATGTTGTGTTCCCAGATGAACGTTATAATAAACCCAAACTCACAACAACATGCAGAGATGGAGTTTGAGATGCTCCACACATGTAAATGATAACAGTTCCTGTGGAACTACTGTGAACGGAGCCGCCGTGTGACGCATGTACTTAACCAACACGCATGTAAATAATTAAAGCGCATATACTGTATTAGAACTGCATCGCATATAATTATTTAATTAAATCATAGCGTTTGTGAATTCACAATTATGCTTAATTATGATTTTTAAATGGGTTTAATATATCATGCAGCCTTGGAAAACAGTCTAATAATGTGTTTTATGGATTCTCGTCTGTGAAATGCGCCACTTCCGGTATTTTGCCGGTTAGTCGACGCGAGCAAAATGAAGTAAGAGGATTTTTAAAAATCGAATAGTCGAATAAAATAGACGAATCGCGACAGCCCTAGTGGAAACACAGACGAAGAAATTAACACAAAGGGTAAAATAGCACCACCTTACCTCGTTTTCCAATGTGACCGTAACCTCTTTCTTCAGCTCCTCCCATGACAAGTCAGAATATCGCTCTGTATCTCGCTTGTAGATCTGGAAAAAAGGAATCAACTCTTCTAAATAAATGTGAACTTATGCATTGACCTGTTCCAATTTGAGACCCTTTTAAGGCCTTCATTTTAAGACATCACAATGTGGAAGCAGTAAAAAACAAGTCGTTTTGGCTGCTGAGTTTCAACAAATGTAGTGTTAATTTAGTTAAAAAACACTATGATGAAAAATGGTCGTTGACGAGCTTTTTTCCCCATGACTAATACGAGACGATGACGAGACGACAATAAGGTCAATAAACAATAACTGTGACTATATTAACATGCAATATCATTGACGATAAAAGAAGAGACTAAAATGTATTTTAAAAAATAAAAACTTTACAAAAATCTTTTTATTTTTGTCAAAAAAAAAAAGGAGACAAAATATTATCTGGCAACCATGTGCACACGCTTCATTGCAGAAGCGCCGATGATGATCTGAAAACACCGACAAACAAGTAAGCTGAAGTTTGGCGATCTCCGTGTGAGATGTTCGGCTTCAATGAAAGTGTCAATCAGCCAGTCTGTGTTCTTTCATGAGATCTCGACTATATTGTTTGCCATTATTGTTGCTGAATAAATGCGCTTACTCAACTGCTGTTGTTTTAAAGGGGTTATATGATCAGGGCCGCATTAACCATTGGGCTAGGCGGGGCTGAAGCCCCGGGGCCCGAGCAAGGAGGGGGCCCGTGATTGGCTGTGGAGTAGATTGACGGACATCGGTAGCGCTGATCGCAAAAAACCCACCACGCCCCTCACTTTTTAGCGCTATTATTTAGTGGAGTTTTCCGTAAATTCCATGCATTACCATTAGAGATTAAAACGTCACATTTGAATTTGTTTTACCAATCAAATGCATTTATTATATATTTTACTTTTGAACGAACTATGCACGCAGCCTCTATCAGGTGATCGCTGCGCCTAATATCTGCATTCACCTCTCTTCACTTCATTCTGGTGTAATCTAGGAATGGTCATGCAAAGAACAATCTTCAATAAGTAAAAATGTCAACTATTCTAAAAAAAATAAATAAATAAAATAGTGAGAGAAAAAAATAGGGAGAGAGGGGAAAACATGAGTTAGTCACTAAAATCCACAGCTAGTTTATTTTACTAAAGCTGATGATGGAGTGGGAGTTGTGGAACCGCAAATACTGTAGACCGTACACATGGAGCAGATAAAAACACAGTGTCACCATCCCCACAGATTTTAGGTTAGTTTGATTATTAACTTGATAGATGTATATTGCTTTTTGTGTTTGAAGGCTTATATTCGCTTATGGGTTGAGAAATTCATTTTGCGTGTCATGATGTAAGCTTGTCATTTAAACGCATTTTAAGCGTTGTGGTTTTAAAACAGTTTTTAATTTAACTGTTCAGGGACATTAAGCAGTGGGGCAAAATTCATTTTGGCAAATGCGCGCTTTAAGACGGTTTTTGATATGCGTGGAGCGCACTTGCTCGTTCAGTGCCTGACTAAACTAAAGAGTTATTTTGCGCTCCTTGTGTTTAAACGTTCGAATACACATAGTTATGTGTCAAAATGCCTGTCTCCTCGTCAACACAGTTATTTGTGTCTTAAATAAACGTTAATAGTTAAAGATAAAGCATGTGACTAGTTGGCTATTATGCGACTTTAAAGGGATATTCACCCAAAAATTAAAATACTGTCATCATTTACTCAGTTTCAAGTTGTTCTGAACCTGTATGAATTTCTTTGTTCTCCTCAACATAAAAGAAGATATTTTGAAGAATATTCGTAACCACCAGAAAGTTTCTGGTCCCTGTTGACTCCAATGGTGTTTTTTTTCTCTCCATACTATGGAAGTCATGGGGGCACAGATTTGGGTTGAACTGTTCTGGAACAGTGTTGTAAATACAACTTAACCACTGATTTCTAGTCGTGTCCTCTTTTGGAAGGCCAAACCAAGTAGTTTCGCTTTCACAATGAAACAGCGTCACACACGGCGGGCTAGAGTGAGCAGAGGCCGGCTTGAGTGAGCGGCGGCACGCAGGCTTGTGGCAACCACATGTGGCGACCCCAGGCTGGACTCCGCTTCGTCCATAGTGAAAGCCGATCAGGCAATCCACAGCCCGAAGTTGATGTATTTCCTCAGCGACCAGCACGGATCAGCTCTAGGCATGATGAAGCGGATATCATCCTCTTTTGGATGTTAAATTTTAAATTTTTTAATTATTAAATAGCCTATAATAAATCAGAACACTAAAATAAAATAGATAAAATAAATCATGTGTATGCGTTCACATTCTGTTGGTTCATGCTTATTGGTGAAAGTGCGATACATTTCTCAAATGACAACAATCATTATGATTATAATTGAGGAAAAAAATAACTCTTTATCAGTTTAACCATTATACAGGATGACGAAAATATGACTACGTTTTCATTGACTAAAACGCTCAGACATTTAGTCGACTAAAACTTGACTGAACAAAAACAGGACAAGGCTGACTAAATATGATAACTAAAAAGTACATTTGACACAGAACTAAGACTAAGACTAATTTAAAAGACAAAGACGAAGACTAAATTAAAAATGGCTGACCAAATTAACACTAAACAAATGCTCTTTTTGCAGTAAGGAGGAATATTTGAGGTCAAGTCATGACCCCAATTAGCTTTATTTTGGACTTCTTTAGAACAAACTTAATTAGTGATCGACCGATATTGATTTTTTTATAACCGATACCAATTATTTATGTTTCACAATTTGAGTTGAATTACTGAAATAAATGAACTTTTCCACGACATTCTAATTTATTGAGATGCACCTGTAGAATGTCTAATGTTTTCAAATGGAGAAAATAAATAAAGGACAGGAGTCGTATCAACTTCATTTTAAATTAGAGTTTTAGTAGGTTTATAAGCTGTTTAATAGCTACAGAGTCAAGAATAATTCACTAGACAATGTTAATTCACTGAATAATATTCTCTGGAATATTGGCATATAACAAACAAAACATCGTATTTTATTGCATTTCTCAACTGGAATGTTATATCAGAATTATTAATAATGTTTTCGTCCTTCTAGATTATGAAATGCCTGCTGACAGCGCGGTTTATCTATGCAGTTACACAGAACTATACTCAAACTGCGATTCCGACTTCACGAGACTAATGATGAGCATAGACAACAGAGAGAGAATTCAATTCAGCGCTTTTATTTCCAACATGCGCTCATTCATGGCTGCATATTATTTAATTCAGGCAAAATTATGTCTTTAATGGGACAGGACTTGACGGATTATTTTACATGAATCCGTGAGTTGGTCTCTATTTCTTAGAGCCAAGCTGCATAAACTACATATCAGGCATTTATGTAATGCATCTAATTTATGCATAAATGGCTGTTATGTTAAATAAAGTTTACTAACTACAGCAAATCAAGTACCTGCACCATGCCGTTGTTGTTGTCTCGTCTCCCCTCAGACGTGCTGCAATGGCGATCCTGCATGCAATTCTCAAAGCACCCACAAGATGGCAGCGTTTATCGGTGAATCCGATATTACAAACCCGATATCCGATTACGGTAAAATGCTTAAATATCAGGAAAAATATCGGTAAATCGATATATCCGTCGATCTCTACTCTTAATCAGATGAGGCAAAAAGTGCTAAGTAAAAATAATTATAATAAATATTCCTGTGTTTTATTTGAACTTACAAATAACTTTAACAAACAGCTGCCCTTTTTTCTGTTCTTTGCTGCGAGGAATACTTACAGAAAATGGCTTCTGGGAACTTTAACTGAATAATCTATTGTGTTGTAAACACATTAAGAGTGAACTGAAG